GATGCTAATATTTTGAAGAATTTTATCTATTTTACTTTCCAGAAGATTAAGTGTTCTTGATTTTGTATCTAGGTTTTTGATCCATTTTGATTTTATTACAAAGCATTGTTAATTTCCTATCATCTTGTTTTGAAATTCTGTATCATTTTATTGTGTTTTTCATTCTCTTTAAAATGAATAAATAAAATAAATAAAATGTAAAAAAAAGGTAAGATATATGAACTTTGATCCATTTTTCTCATGGATGACTGGTTTTCCCAACACCATTTGTTAAAGAGGCTATCTTTTCTCCAGTGTGCTGTCTTTGGCACCTTTGTGAAAACTAGGATTACTGATGGTGTATGGGGTTGTTTCTGCATCTTCCAGTACCAGTCCGTTAAGATGTCTGATCTCAGTACCATGATGTTATTACTATTGACCCTTAATAGTATAGTTTGAAATACAGGATCATAATGCCTCTTGCTTTGCTTCTTTTGCTCAAGATTCCTTTAGCTATTCTGGGTATCTTCTATTTCCACATAAATTTGAGAATTTTTTTTTTAATTGTGTAAAAAAATTACATTAGCATTTTCCTTGTGGTTGCATTAAATCTATGTCATTTTCGGTAATGCCACTTTGACAATTTTGGTTTTCCTATCTAGGAGCAAGGGATGTTTCCATTTTCTAGCATCCTCTTCAATCTCTTTTTTATTGAGTATTATAATTTTAACAGAGCCCATTAATGTGCTGAATTAGTTTAATTTCTAGACATTTAAATTTTCTGAGGCAGCCACAAATGGGGTTGTTTTCCTGACTTCCTTTTTCAGTAGGTTCACTGACTTTATGCAGGAGTGCTTTTGATTTTTATGTATTGATTTTGTACCCTGCCACTTTGCTGATTTTGTGTATTAGTTCTAAGCGTCTTCTGATGGAATTTTTGGGGACATGTAATGAACAAGTCAAGTGTGAATAAGTATATTTTTACTTTTGCTTACTTATTCATATCCTTTTTATTTCTTTCTCTTTCTTTATTGCTTTGGCAAGTACTGTATTGAACAGGAGTGTTGAGAGTAGACATCCTTATCTTGTTCCACATTTTATAGGGAATGTTTTCACTTTTTCTATTTTTAGTATGCTCTTGGTAGTGAGATTGTCATAAACAACTTAAAAGTTTGAGGTAAGATTGATGAATTCCCACTTTCATCAAGGATTTTATCATGAATGGATGTTGGATTAAATCAAAGGCTGGTTCTGCATTTATTGAAATCATCATGTAAATTTATACTTCTGTTTATGTGGTATATTTTAATTATTGTGTACATATGGTGAAACATTCTTGAATCCCTAGGATGAAGCTGACCTTATCATGATGCACGATCTTTTTATTTTTTTATTTTTTGTGGTACTGGGGATTGAACTCAGAACCTTGTGCTTGCCAGGCAGGTGTTTATGCCAGTAAGGTATATCCCTAGCCCCTGCATGACCTTTTTAATGATTTGTTACATTCTCTTTGCAAGCATCTTGCTGAGAAATTTTACATCTATGTTCGTTAAGAAAATTAACCTATATTTTTCTTTTTTTTTTGGTTTTTCTCCGGTACCGGGAACTGAACTCACGACCTTGCGCTTGCGAGGCAGGCGCTTTGCCGCTGAGCTAAATCCCCAGCCCCAACCTATATTTTTCTTTATATATTGTGTCTTCGTCTGGTTTGGGTGTCAGAGTAATGCTAGCCTCAAGTAATGAATTTTGTAGTGTTCCCTCCCTTATAATTTCATAAAGACTTTGAGGAGTATTTGAGATACTTCTTCTGTGAAGTTCTGCTAAAATTTAGTGGTGAGTCTGTTTCTGTTTTTATTACTGCCTCAATTTTATTTATTGCTATTGTACTATTCAGAGTTTTTATACGTCCTTGGTTCTCTTTTGGTAATTTATATGTCTCTAAGACTTTATCCATCTCTTATAGAGGCCCAGTTTAATGAAATATAAACTTAGAAACAGTTTTAAACAATCCTGTGGATTGACATGGTATGTACTGTGATTTCAACTTTTTCACTTCTAATTGCATTGATATGACTCTTTTCCTTCTTTCTTGTGGCAAGTTTGGTTTTTCAGAGAACTTAGTCATTGATTCATTAACCCTTTGTAGTTTTTTAGTCCCAATTTCATTAATTTCTACTCTCACTTTTACAATTTTTTTCATTCTACATTTGTAAGATCTGGAGTACTCTTCTTTTTCTAAGACCTTAAGATGTGTCATTAGGTTATCTATTTGGGATTGCTTTGTCCTAGTCACTTTCTTGTTGCTGGGACCAAACACTCAATACCCACAATTTAAAGGAGGAGAGGTTTATTTTGAGTCACACTTCGGTCTGTGGTCAGCTGGCTCCAAGGCATGAACAGTATGGTGGAAGGGCCTGGGTGGAAGACAGCTATTTATCTTATGGCAACCTGAAAGTAGAGATTGAACGAAGGGGCAGAGTAGATACATTCTTCCAAGTTATACTCACTGTGACCCTCCTCCTAACAGCAAGTAATTTATATACCTGCCCTGATCCAATCACTTTTCAAAAGTCCAGCCTCTAAGTGTATGAGCCTTTTGTGGGACATTCTAGCTCTAAATGACAACATTCTGTCCCTGATCCCCAAAGGACTCATCGTCATCTCTTTATACCTTTAAGAGGCACCATAATCTTAACAATTCCAGCATTGCTGAAAGTCCAAAGTCTCCTCTGGGATTCAAAGTAATCTTTAAGCTGTGAGCCTCTGTAAAGCTCAAAAAAGAAAGTTAAACACTGCTAACACATTAGGGCATGGGGTAAACATCCTTATTCCAAAAGGGAGAAATAGGTGCATAGAAAGGAATGGGAAAGTAGGATCAAAGTAATAGTGAAACCAAGCAATGCAAACATTAAACTCTATAGTTCCACATATAGCATCTGGGGTGACTTGTGGTGAGATATGAGCTCCAAAAAGCTTGTGTGGCCTCAACCCTATGGCATTGTCACTTGAAGCCCTCATGTCCTCTCTTGGGGGTAAATGCATTCACTTCCTGAAACTTTCCTTAGCAGATGTTCCTTGTTTCTGTCATCTCTAAGTTCCTGGGTTCTCAGCTTTACTTTTAGCTTTATGCCACACCCTCTCAGGGGTACAGTCCCTTGCTTCTGAGGCCTTCTTCTAAAATCTAGGTGGAAGCCTTCCTGACCTTACAGTTCTTGCATTTTGCATGCCCATGAAACCAGTACCTCATGGATGGCACCAAAGTCTGTTGACAATTTGAGTAGTAATGGGGATCATGCCTACAGTGATCTCTGAATGCCTACAAGACTGAACACTGTGAAACACATCCTGGGGAATCAATTTCCTAGTGGCCCTTCCTGAACAGGGGATCCTGGAGCTCTCTCTTCAAATTAAAGCTTTATAATTTTGAACCTTTGAGCCTGCAGAAGGTAGATTCCTGAGATATCCATAAGCCATCTTTCCTATTGTTCCATAAAATAACATATCATTTGAAAGTGAAAAGATGGAAAGTCATACTTTATGCAATTTAAATTTAAAAGAAACTAGGACCAGCTATCCTATTTTAGTCCTTGGCTTCTTTTTAATGCTAAACTTGCAGTTACCATGCTATCCCTTGTCCCAGTTTTCCTGGCACTATCTTTCTGAATGAAACTGCAAAATTATCACATCTGATGCTGCTGATTATCCATGATTCTCCCTATAAATCTGGCTAAAGGGGAAAGTATTACCCATGCCACAGGCAGAATAACGAGCACCCTTGAAAATTCCTCTACCATGTTAGTCTGTCATTCTAAATCTCATTCTCTCACAAAGTCTAAGAGCATAGGTAAACTACAGACAAGCTTAATCCATGGCACCTTGTTTTATAAAGTTTGCTTTGCCAACCTTTGGTGCATATATGTAAATAATTTTTATCTCTCCCTGTTAAGTTGTTCATTTTACCAAGATGTAGTGACCTTTGTCTCTTTTGATTAGTTTTAGCTTGAACTCTACATTTTCTAAAAATAGGATGGCTGGTCCTCCTTCCTTTTAAATTTAAGTTGCATGGTGTATAACTTTCCATCTTTTCACTTTCAAATGATATGTTATTTTATGGATGAGGTCTGCCTCTTTCAGGTAACATGTTGAGGTTTGGTCTTGATTTAAACTGCCAGTCATTCTTTTGATTGTGGAGTTACAGCCATTTACTTTGAGTACTATTATGGAAAGCTATTTACTGAATCCTGTCGTTGAACCATTTACTTATGCATACAAAATTTATTTTTTTGGTGGTCATCTCTTATGGTTTTCTTTTTTAAAAACAATTCTCATTATTCAAACATTACTTTTTTAAAATTTTTATTTTAAAGGAAATAGTACAAAAAAAGAACAATAACAAAATACAAACAAAACAAGGACATTAAAAATGATACAGGGTTTCAAACCAAATGATAGGGATTAACAGTGGTTGTTATATTACATATTGTTATCTTCAATGAAGTTGCTCAGATTACCAGATGTAAGAATAGAAAACTGATCAAATCATTAAAGGGAATAAGAAAATAATAATTTAAAAGAGCATTAGAGACAATACATAGTTTCACTAGACAGGATTGTAGGCATTCACCAATGGTTGTTATACTGCAAATTGTTGTCATCACATAAGTTGCTCAGATTATCAGATATAAACATGCAAAATTGGTCAAAATATTAAAAAAAACCTTTTAATCATTAACTGTTCCCCTTAACAAACTATCAGACACTGGCAGTACAGTTATGCCACCGATGCATATATATATTTGTTTAACTATTTTTCCAGTCTGATTTATTCCTTTCTTTTGGTGGGTTGATGATGTTGGTGTCAGTCTCTCTCTGTAGGATTCCTTTAAGTGTTTGGTGCAGTGCTGGTTTCTTGCTCATGCATTTCTTTAGGTTCTCTTTGCTCCCAAAGTTCCTGATCTATCTTTTCTGAGGGATAAGCTTTCAGGAAATAATAATCTCATTTGGTGTTTTTTTTCTTTTAGGCCTTTATATACTTCACTCCATGTTCTCCTGGCCTTTGAGGTTTGTGTTGAGAAATCAACTGTTGTGCTGATATACTTGCCTTTGTAAATTCTTGATATTTTTTTTCTAACAGCTTTTAATATTCTCTCTCTGATCTGAATACCTGAGATTTTTTTCCTTGGATTTTTACCTTGCACAGTTTCTTTTCTGATTGATCATTGCTATTTAGGGTATACTATATGGTTCATTTACCTGGATATTGAATTCTTTCCCTAGACTTGGAAAATGAGAAAATGTTCTGCTGTGATTTTATGAGTATATTTTATACCTTTGATGTCCTATTCTAGTCTTACCCCAACTCACATCATTCATTTTTTCTTTTTTATTCATCTAGCAGATGTTGAATCCAGCTACCATGTTTTCTTGCGTGTTTGTTTGTTTTGTTTTGTTGAGGATAATACTGAGTACATTGTCCACTACGTCAACCTTGTCTTCAAATTCTTACAATTTCCCTTCAGACTGATCACTTTTGTTGCTTATAGTTATAGTTCAATTTTTCATATGCTGGATTTCTCTTTGATTCCTTTTCATAATATCTAATTCTTTATATAAGTAGTCAATCATACTTTGTATTCTTGAATTCAGTCTACTTTTTGATTGGGTCTTTTTAAGCATGTTAAACATTTTATTAATTGCATTCATTGTGTTTATTTTTATGGTTAGTAAGCTCAATGAACATCTTATGAATTTGCTTATTAATTTCCTTTTGAAGGTCTTCAATCATTTTAACAATTTTGTTTTTGAGCTCTTTGCCTAAAACTTCATCTCCTTCAGTACCTGTAAGATCAGTATTTGGGACATTAAAAGTTTTTGGAGGCATCTTGTTCCTCTGTTTTCTCATTTTTAAACTGTATTTGTGTTGAGCAGTGAAGATCAGAGTAGGAAAAGTCTCTGTTAGAACTGTGGAGATTTCTTCCGTTAGTGTATATCTCCCTGTTATGCGACCTTGGTTTTAGTTACGTTTTGGCCATTATGCATCTATTCAGCCTACTCAGTGCAATAATGTGAGTCCTGGTCACTGTGTTGCAAGTAGAAAACAGCTAGACATTGTATCAACATCTATGCAACCAACTGTATGTCAGTCATACACTTTCAAACTTATTTTAACAATTTTGCAGTTTTTTTTTTTTAATAACCCAGAAAATAGCATAATAGTACTGATGACAAGTAGGCTGGGGTGTAGAGGATGAAGGAAGGAGAAATGAAGAGGAAAAGGAAGAAAATAGTTCAGAAAGAAGGGAAGAAGAAACAATATCAAGCAGTAAATGAAAGGCAGGGAAATCAGTTGGTGATATTATTTTTATTTCTGAAAAAGATGCGGGGGTGAGTTGGTTTAAGCAATTATTTGCAGGAGTGAGGAAAAGAAGAAGAGAGGGATACATATGATTAGATATTTGGGTACATTTCAAGAAGATTGTAGCCAATTAATATCCTGGCAGAGAATTGTGTTGGAATCCTCCATACATAATATTTAGTGAGAATTAATTTGACATGACCATAAAAGATAGTATCTAAATTCAAAAACAAAGTAATTGTTATTCTAATTTTGCATATATAAACACTCTCTAGCACACACATATATTTATTTCTGTATGTATATTTATATACACGTGTATACATACTCCCATTATATAGATCGTTTCTTCACTCTAGTTTTTGTTTCTTCTGAAGTGTAGAAGATTTTTAATCTGTTACAATCCCATGTGTTGATTTTTGGTGTTACTTCTTACGCAGTTGAGTTTTTCTTTAGAAAACCGTTGCTTGTGTCTATGTGAAGAAATGTACCTTTTTAATCTGGTCTTTCTTTAACTGAAATAACTGTTAAAACTATTGTGATTCTAATTATATTTGATGAATTATGGAAAAAGTAAAAGAAGGGTATTTTATGGACATTTAAGTTTTGTTGCACTAAATTGAAAATAATTCTTTTTAAACTTTATTTCAGTGTCCTTTTGGTGGAATCTACAACATTTATCCATTTGCCATCACAAGTAACTGGACGGAGTAAACATTTGCATGAAGTGTAAATATATGTTTTATACTTGTACATTTCTAAGGAAAAGCTCTAAGAAATGAGTGCTCAGGAAACTTCTCATATATACAGTTGTACAGTAGTTTCCACTCATTCACAAAATTTAATTTACCTTATTTATACACTTATTTATATATATGGTCAGATATTTCTAGCTTTGTGGGCATGAAGAATACATAAATATGTCTAAAAATACATATACACTGAATTAAATGCAATAGATTGCTATTATTAGTAATGATTATGTACTGTAAAGTTGCCATAGCCATTCAATGTGTATAGTGAAACAATTGTCATTACTCAAACATTACTCTTAGATAAGTAGGTAGTCAAAATTCCTACAGAGGGGCTGGGGACTTAGCTCAGCGGCACAGAGCCTGCCTGGCAAGCGCAAGGTTGTGAGTTTGATTCCCGGTACCAGCAAAAAAACAAAAAAAAAAACCCAAAAAACAACAACAAAAAAATCCTACAGAAAACCCATCATGGTAGGTGCTACATTTTTGTATTACTAAAAAGAAAATGAAAACCAAGAGTGTTAAATGACTTCTCTGAGGCCTGCCCACTCATTGGTTCCAAAGAAAGAATTCAAACTCTCTTCGCCTGTTCAGAGTTTGAGCTGTGAACTGGAGCAGTCAGTGCCTAGAATTTGTCATCACTCTGCCTGCATCATTGAGTGTCCAAGTATCGTGAGTCTTGGTTTTAAGGTTACAAATAACTTTGAATGATTTTGAAAACAGAATTCATGGACAGTGAAGATCATTTTAGCTTAACCTTATTCCACCCACTTTATGAGGTATGCACTTAGTTTAGAAAGATATTTTAATTTCTGAATAAAGAAGCAGAATTTTAGCAATTTATACTGTTTTGTGTTTATAGAATTGCTACTTAAAGTGATGTATAATTAAAAATAATGTTAACAGGGTGGCTGTGGTAGTTCATAGGAAGCTGAGTCAGGAAAATCAGAAGTGCAAGGCTAGCCTGGGCTACATAATGAGTTCAAGGACAGCCTTGACTGCACAGTAAGATCTTGTGTCAGAAAAAAAGTAAACAAGAACAATGTTTAATAAAGGAAAAGACCGAGAGAAAATAATATAGGTCATTATTAATGAAGTGCATGCATACATTAACTATAACTATTATGGTTTTAGTACGCTTTGTTCCTGTTTTAAATCTTTGTTATGTTTGACAGTATCAATGTCATCTTTTATATTCAAAAATGTCAAGAGACAAGAATTTGGCAATTTTGATAATATAGTAATTCCCAGTGTTAAAGTCATCCCAAATCACTAAATTTAAATAAACATATTTTATTAAATAAATATATTTTCATAAGTAGATTTTCTATAAACATTTTATTTGAACACCATGTAATGAAATTTAAATGGATATAAGATTTAATTTAAATAAGTGTATTTGACGATAGTAAGTCCAATTTTTTCCAGGGCAAATTATTTTTAAGTCAGTACCCCTGGAAGAAAAAAAATACCTTTGGAAGATTATAAGGGTTGAGGTATAGATGTTTGATTACTTCAATAATTTTTCTGTGAGAAAAGTTGTTAAAAAGAAGCCAGTTTTTTTCATGACTTTTTTTTACTGAATACTGATTTCACGCTTAACTAGGACATTCAAAGCTTTGCATATATATTTTTAACTTTAGTGAACAATAAAAGATGAAATGACTGTGTTCAACACTACGTCAGCACTATAGATACCATAAAAGTAATAAGATTACAGGTATTTTAATTTCTTTAACATTTTAGATTCTTGCTTCTTCTTTATTAAATGGCTGCTATGTGTTCATAGATTTTGTATAAAGGTCCTTAAAAAATTTCTTCGTATTAGTTGTGAAAAACTTATAGCATATGTTAAACTTCAGTCAGATCTCAAATCAGTTTAGGTGTCTATGGCCCTACATAAATCAAATAAATCAAATTAGTTTGGTAGCAAAATTAAGTGTATTTTTACCATTTGAAATTTAATATGGAATTCTGTATTTCAGACGTTAGCAAAATTTTCCTTTATATAATATTCTGTAGTGGGTTTGACTGAATTCAAAGATGTAGAATTATTGCAGTCATGGACTGTAAGGAAACAGTAAGGCATTGTTTTTATGGTAAGCTTCCCAAGTCAAATAGAAAATAGACTGAAGAAATATAAAATGACATTTTAATTAGATAACCAAATCCAGCTAGAAGACTGAAATATCTATCCTCCATATATGCAAAACTAGAATTTAATTTTCTAAGAATGGAAACCTTGAGAGTACTAATCTAAAGTAATTACTAACACAACATAAGATATAGCTTAATAAGCGTATCTGCCACAGTCTCATGGTCTCCTCTGTTTTATTTATAATGCGATACACACTTAGTTCTTCTCTCAAGCCTTTCTCTTGGAAAAAGAAACAACAAACACTGAGCAAAGGTGAAGAAAAACTATGAAGATGTGGAGACACTGAGTGCTGAGTCAGGGAAACCATAAGCCCTCATAGAGCAAGTAGTCAGGCTCCTGCAGATGAACTCAATGAATTACTCAGAGACTTGACTTTAAAAGATTGCAGATTTTCTCCCCTATTCTCCTCTAAGGCTATCTAATTCCAAAGCAAGAGCAGTCTGTATAAATCACAAACCACCAAGTTTCTCAGTCAAAAGGACTGGCCAGTTTATGTACATTCTCGATTTGTCTTTTGGGGCCTGGCATGGACTGATTGCTCAGCATCAAATCTGTATGTTAAGATGAGGTAAAATAGTCTTAAATATACATAAAAGGCTATTTTCCTTAGAGATTTGCCAAGATTGATTAGAAGCAGTTAACTGTCACACTTCAGGGAAATTCATTAGAAGCATTTGGGTGTGGCTTCTTCCTCTGGGATCCTGACTATTTGCTGTGTGAAACTTCCAGGCTGCAGATTTCCTAGCAGGCAAGTCTCTGTTCATTTCCTCAAGTGTCAGCTAAAATACGCAGAGCTCTGAACATCAAATTCACCTTCTGGGCATTTCAAAAGAGGAAGCACAAGGGTCTCTATAGGGAAGTTTCTTTGAAATACCACAGAGCATCGGATATGTAGCCAAATCTTCATTAAATGACCAAATCTAGATGAAAGAAAGACCAAAACCTCCTTTCTCTACATGTACATCTAAACAAATTTAAGATTTTGTAGTGAGGAGGGAAGGCCAAATGGTTATTCGGGTAGAGAACAAAGTCTCTATGTGAGGAGACACAAAGTCACTTTTATGTCCACATAGCACAAAGTAGTTTAATATTTCATCAATATGTATTCATCAGCAAAATGAAAACGTTTCACATTTAAATATGCCTTAATAAAATAATTCTTAATGATGTTGCAAATCACATTTTCTTCTTTTCTTTTTTTCTTTTTTTTTTTTTGTTTTTGGTTTTTTCTGCTACCAGGAACCGAACTCACGACCTTGCGCTTGCCAGACAGGCGCTGGGCCTCTGAGCTAAATCCCCAGCCCCTGCAAATCACATTTTCTTAAAAGCTCTCCTTACTGTTTTTCTTGAACAGTTTTGTATGTATAAATAAAGCTTTAAGAAAACACATTTTAATCACAACAAGAATGAAAGTCTAGTGTATTACATATGATTTTTTAAAGACATAATCTTCCATAAAACCCTTCTCTGCTTTCAAAGTTTAATCAAGAGAATAATAGAAGAGAACAAGAGATGGTTTAACAAATCTCCATAAACTGAATTTAAGAGGTGTTTTACATATGTTCAGATGTGTTCTTCTCAGGCAGAGGATTTTCCACCAATACTGACATTTGCGAGAATATGTAACTCATTTGGCAATGGCATGTGAAGTGTTACATGTTGTTTCCAAGAACCAGTGAGAAATTTTTTGTTATCTTTTCCTACTACAGCTATAATAGAAATACATATAGAAACAGAGAATTCTTAAGCAAGGGTTTCTGAATACACCCCCATGTAAGATGGACGTGTAGTGTGAGCAAGAAATAAACTTGCGCTAATTCACTAATGGTGGGGGGCTGTTTCTCACTTCGATATGACCTGCTCTATATTAACTGATACTCCTCCTCAGAATCCCTTCAACTAGTATCTCCACAAATAGTAATGCTTTTCTTTGTAAATGATTTGTCAAATGCTACAGTTACCTTTCAATTGATACAAAAACGATGACCTTCCCTACTAAAATAAGAATGCCTCTCTATATAAGCCATATATATATATATAT